GAATTTGTAGAAAATTCGAGGCACAACATCAAATAAAAAAAATATGAGAGAATAAGCCAAAGAGAACTCAATCCATATGCGAATTCATGTGTCATAAATGAAGCAGTAACAATGACTTCATGTTATCAAATATATTTTTTTTATCAGAAACGGCTATTATAGTATATATATATTACTAAAATAAAATTTTCATTTATTTCATTGAATGAAGAATTTGCGGAATTGGTGAAATACCTGTGCATTTATTTTTGCGAACCATGCGATGTTTGTACGCTTTCCCCATTTTTAAAAGCTGATCGTTGACTATGGATGGACTGGTTCGACGAGACCGCGAAGAACACAGATCACGGTAACCGACATAGACTATTACGGTGCCGATATTGCAGACTAGTAGAGCTGACCATATAGAATGGCAATTGTACACTCTGCCCCTTTTGGAATTGATAGTACAGCAAGATACACGAAAAAAATATGGGAATTGGTGACAAGGACCTACTTGGAATGCCATCGACGACTTTTAAAAACGTCAGCTCATACCCTATGAATGATGACCCTAATCCATCCCAGACTCATCTTAGCAATTACTTAATTTACAAAAACTCATTTTATAAGTTGATATGATGTGTGTGCAGCATATAAAATCGTATAAGTGTTTGCATATGATTCGGTGTCTCATTTTTTAAACCAATCATAAGCCGATCAAATATTTTATGAGATTATCATTCGCTTAGAGACAGCTTGATTCATGTAATATCTGCCTGGGGGGCGAAAACACTTTAGAACTTTTTTTGACAAGAATGGGTATCACGCCGCTATTGGCGTCCAGACATTTTTGCATTTTTCTGCATTGTTGTCTGCATGGGACTACTAATCGTTATGCAGGCTTATTTTTCTTAAACATTGTATTAGCATACTGAAAAAGATTTGACACCATCATAAAACGATAATGAGAACGGCAGCGGAGAGGTGTTGCAACTCTTTATTTGGACTAATGTTAATATTCACTTTTGATAGTGCTCAAAAAAACTATCAAGAATGTGCGATTCAAACAATAGATTGGGTGAAACAAAATACTGAAGGTCCCGATCAACGAACATTTACATCCCAAATCAAAACCCCTGCTGGGATCCTAATTTTGTTAGCGCATTATGGAGGCTAAGCTACGGAGAAAAAAGTGAGTACGTCTTTGCGTGGAGGCTAATCGTTCGTTGAAAACGCGCAAAAATATATAAATTATATATTATAAATTTTTCTGCGACTGCCATTGGCACATTATCCGGTTTTGCAGAAACCAGTATTACTACTTATAGTGAAGCATTAGTAAGTTTTTAGAAAAAAAGAAATATTCCTGTAAATATCTGTCACGTAGAACCGGCTTATGTTCACAATTTCGGTGTATTATTATATTAGTCTTGATTGTTTCCATTTCTGATGATCTACTCGGAATCTGCATATAAAGTTCATGTGCCTGAAACACAACCCAAATAAAAAAAATTTATTGTTTTATCGTTTCAGTCAATATCTATTTTTAGTGTTAGTATTTCACCGGCGCAAATCACGTATAAGTAAGTGTACAAAGTATTGGTCACATTTGAACTGGTTTTCAGAAGCTCGAAATCTATACGAAACTCAAAAATGAATAGCTTGTATATACGATGTGCACCGTCATATCGTCACGCTAATAACCGAAATGCGTAAGTCATTGTTAGCAGTTTTGAGAGAAACGTAAAAAACTTCCTAATGATATTGTTATGCCATTGAGAGTCAATAATTTTCCATGGTTCAATTTTTTGATCGTAGCCGGATTTAAGTTAATTTGTATGACGCAGTTGAGTGACGTCATAATGGCGCACTAGGATTTAGGCAGAAATGTGTCTATGACTTGGGGACATACGCAATTTTGCAACTTTACTTATATGCACCAGTCCTGAAAACTAAACATTCCAAAAACGAATGTAATTCTCAGTATATACAATGCCTAATCCCCTAAATGTCTAATTAGTTTCAATTACATTATTTTTTATGTTTAAAAATATATATTTGATCAATATAACACGTTCTGCACACCCACCGGAATTAGACTAAAGATTAAATATGAAGAATAAAACAGCAATGCACCCAATAAAAAGCCAACCAAGGTGAATTGGACTCGGACAGTGAATATCACAAGTGCACGCCTTCCTATACTGTAGTATAAATTCAAATTAATACGCGCTAAGCTAGAATCAGCAAAAACTCGAAAATACTTCGCCTTATTTTGCTTTTGTGACGTCACAATAGTGCTGCGCTAACAATGATAATTCATTATGACGAAACAAATGTGCATGCCATACTAAATCTCCATTTTTGGGGTTTCGGAATTCTTAAAATAAAATCTGAGTTAACAGACAGGTGCGCAACATTACATAAAAACCTATTTTATAAAAAACTCATAATCGCCAAAAATGGGGTAAAGTCTACCAAAGCATTTAGTTCGGTTATGCATCCTGGCTGATTTATTATTATTCAATTGTGTATAACGTCAATTATTTTCGTTGACCCGAATTATAATTTGTGCATAATAAGACACAAGACAATCTATACCAGGGGTCGGCAATCCCTGACACGCGTGCCAATTGTGGCACGCGAGAGGATTTCTCATGGCACGCCAAGTGATTTGATGCAGATCAGATATTTATTTTAGTAGTTCGACCAAAATTCTACATTTGAACGAAAATTAACAATTCGACAAATCCTTTGAAAAAACATGTAATGTTTATCTGCAACGACGAGAAGCCGAATTTGTTGCCACTTTTCGTTACTTTCGAAAAACCGGTGGATCAGAGGCCTAAATCTGTACGGGAATTCAGTGTAAATAAGCATATGCGGTGCCAGATAAGGCTACTTTCATAAACGCTTCGCTACCTGAAACTACTCGTTCACCTACTAGCAACTTTTTATACTATTGTTGGGTTACTTTTTGCCCTTTAATAATCGTGAAATATTGAATATTATTTCATCAATTCATACTTTTGGGCAATTCGTACAGCTTTTTACTAAAATCGCCGATTATTTTTGTCAGCGTGACGTGTTATTTTGACCGTAAACACTTTTAAGTCGGTGTTTATTCTCCCAGAATCACAAAAAGTATTCCACGCCAACGATAATAACTATTTTTTTTCGTATTCTCCCAGAATTGAGAATTGGCTGAGAGTTATTATACAATAATCGGCAGCGAGTTGCTTTAAGTCTAAAAAGAGTGGAGCGGCGACGCAATTTTTTTCATTGAAAAGCGGCAATATAAAATACTAAAAATAAAACCGTAAATAATTTGTTGTACGAGGCCCGTGACAGTTTAAAAAAAACTTCTTTAGGCATTGTGAATTGCAAAATTTCGTGTGCCTAGTGCACACATAAGTTTGCACGGCATTGAGAATCATAAGGCCACTGGAATAGAAACACGGTTAAATGTTGCGCGGATTTACCTTTTTACCAATTACTTTAAATTACCGTCGGGAATTTTATATATATCATATATATTATACAATTCATATTATAAGGTTGGAAACGCGACTTTTTCCCGAGTCGTGTTGAGATATAAGATAAATAATTAAAGTATATATATTCAATCAATTTTTATTGTACCAAAATAAATTTTACTCCGTGAGCTTTTATAGCAGATTTAGGGATTTTTCTAACAGTTATTTCATCATCGAAAACAAAATCTGAGTGGCAGCTTGGCGATAGAGCGGAGTCATTTTTGCAAGTACAGCTCAGATTTGTCGAATTGGCAAAATTGGAAAAATACGGATCAAAACTAGATATAACCGGGAAGTTTACCACACATTTTTATGTCCGCGGATTGATGTGGTATTTTAGGGTAGTGATGCGTATGCGTTTATATTGTCGACGCAACTGCAAGTTAAATTGAAGACAAGTAAATTGTAATACAGCAAGACATTTTATGATTATCTTGCACAACAGAAAAATCATTATTATCCGTCGAAAAAGCCGCGGGGATTTCAAGGCGATAAATATGTATTTTTTATTTACTGATATACTTTATATGTATTTAATTGTACTCTATGAGATTTTTATTACAGATCTTGAGATTTTTCTAACAGCGATAACGAATTCGCAAGATCACAAAAAAGTATCAAAACTAAATACACTCAGGCATGTTTATCTCATAGTTTTATACGTCAACAGATTGAGCAGTATTTTAGACTAGTAATCTTTATATTTTGACGCAAGAAGACGCAGCCGCGAGTTACGTTGGACCCAATTATATCAATATAAAAGGAAATTTTATAGATTTTCGTAGCTGTCATGAATTGATTATTCTACGCGACTAAAAAGTCGGTATACTCCAAAAAAGTCGGCTATTTTTACGAGCGTGTAATCACGGCGACTGTTTCAGAGGGGAAAGGAAATTTCCGATTCCGACTATTCAAATCAGGTAGTTGATTATGCAAACCAAACACATAAAAATGTTTGGCACGCGAAGGTGCTCATTATTCATAAAATGGCACGCGGAGTTCAAAAGGTTGTCGACCCCTGATCTATACCAATACAATTTTTTATTTGCAGGACTCGCAGTAAAGAAATGGATAATGTTTCTGCTACAAATGAAAAAAACATTGGTTAATTTACACATGCTCGTATATAGAATGCAGAATGGTTCAACAAAGTAGTGAAATACTCGCAAACCTTAAAACTAATTATTATTTCATTTATTTTTTGATGAACAATATTAAATACTATTGAACTATAAACAAAAGTCAAAAATATATCAACCCGCCTACAAGGCGAATCAATCGTCACGATCAAATTTGCGAAACGGTATTGGAACCGTTAAATTAAATGAATCATTCACACGATAAAAAATCTCATCGTTGCGCTATTTATAATGCTCAAGGGCATGTTATGTTTTGTCAAACACTTACCATAAAATGGTTACTTTGGGTTGCACTGGAATCAAAATAATCAAACTATGTGAAAAAGGGTGAAAGCGACTATATAAGAACAACAGTTTTTATAGAGCATCAAACGTTCGGCAACTGAATACAAGAAGATGAATTTTCTCCCCGTTGCAGTTATTATTACTCTAGCGTTCCATAATGGCATGGGCGCACCCATGGATTTTGCCGAATACATTTCTCAAGTTCTAATGAGTCAAACACCAGATCAAGCGTTTGGGAGACTGTTCAGACAAGTGAATTTGTTACAAGGTAACTGTACATTTTTTTTCAAATTTCATAAAAAGTTTTTGAATCGAATTTGGCCTTTTGAAACAAAAACAACAAGCGCTAGAAATTTTCCACAGTCTCAATTGAGAAAATGTTATCTTTTTAAAATAAATAATAATTGATGCAATGTTTTTGAATATAAAACTCGAGATTATATTAGGAATATCTTTTCGTTGTTATCTTGTTTCATCAAAAAATTGTCTTTTCAGAACATCTGCCATTTTTTAACTTTCTAACCTATTTAGACAGGGATATCTTGTAAAATAAAAGTTAATACTTGGAAATATTAATAGCCCAGAACAGTTTGTTTCAGGTTTGCTAAACGTGCGTGGACTATATAAAATATATCACCTAGTCGCAATGAGTTGCAGTTTAGCAGCAGTTTCACTCGGTTTGGTAGGCATAAAGGTATAAAAGGACCCGTTGCGGTGTTAAGTTTGGGTTGTGAAATCAAATTAGACGCAAACCAAAAAATAGACGTTTAGTATGATATATATCTACAGCAATCATAAAATTATTTCAAAATGAATTAAAATAAAATAGTAATAAATACTAATAATATATTACAATCTTTGGTATTTAACAAATTTATTGCAGATGCAACATGCTTTGTTGGCCTGAAAGGACACGTACTGAAAGATGATGCACTTTCGTCATCATCAGATTGGGACACAAATCACGCCAGCGATCAAGGCAGACTCGACAATCAACAAATTGGACACAAACGAGGAGCATGGTCATCCAAGACTAGTAATTGCTTTTTAGCTTTATCGATACACACTTAACCAGTTTATTTCGTTACAATGTTTACGTTAAATAAAGGAAGGCGTGTCAAACATTTACAAATGTCACCGTTTTTCGCTGAATTTGTTCTAAAGTTATTCAATTGGTGTTGAGTTTTTTGATGACATTTTTGACTAAATAATTGAAATTTAACTACAGATGCTGTCGGACAGTGGATTATGGTTGATTTAGGACAAGTTACATCTGTCAGTGGAATAATTACTCAAGGCAGACCTTCATCTGATCAATGGGTAAGGACTTACAAAGTCCATTGCGGTGAAACACAAGCAACTCTGGCACCTATACAGGAAGCAGGAAAAGACAAGGTATTTACTTCATTTTTTTTAATTAACTGGTTTGAAGTTTTATGGCGTCCATCGGACACATATCACATTTGTCACAGTCAATTTGTATTTAACGGCATCTCTACTCCGCTTGCATAATGCTTGCCAGATGAAGGAGTCGGAAACGTTCACAGTAACTCAATTCAAGATAAAGATAAAAATGGACCCCCGAAGCAAAAATTATCGGTTACTTTTCTGTGTTGGAAATATTAAATATTATAAGAGGAAATTTTGTGAAACTTTAAAATTTATTCTATTTTTATAGATCTTCACAGGAAACAAAAACCAAAATGATAGATCGGTGCAGAAATTTGGACACCTGCATTGCAGATACATACGTATTTACCCACAATCATGGTATAAACACATGAGTATGAGATTTGAGGTCATCAAAGGTCAATGCGCAGATTTGTATTGATCTAATACTCAGATATAAACCATATCATACCAAGCCAAACCACATGATTTTCCGGTTATTTTCCTGTCTCTGGTCTATTATTGGGAAAGTAATATTTCATTGAATTTAAGTGATTGTTAAACGTCTTGAGTCGTCAATGTTATACAACTTGAAATATAAAATTGAATCAAATTATATTACTATTGAATAAAATTTTAGATCTCAGCGTGACATAGTAATATGTATGTGGAGAACTTACCAAAATCTGGGTATGTTTTCTGGATAATATTTAACCAGTCATGTTGAGAGTCGTGTTTCAGTATTTGGTTGGAAACCGCGAACACGGAGGGTCATACGTGATTAGTTGACACACGCGTTAGTTACCTCGACTGTCTTATTTAATGTGTTGACATGGGCACAGAATAAGACAGCGGTAAATGACACCACTGCTGACATACAAAAGGAGGTATCCGTTATGTAGAAATGTCTTTAGTCGCGATAGATAAATGATCGTGGGTGATTGATTACAGAAAACGTACGAAATATAATAAACGACGTGATTATCATCCACAATTTTATAACAAGAATAATAAAATGGCTTTGTTTGCCTATTTCACGTTAACTCGACTGTATGTAGCAGCATATCATCTACCCCAGCAGTGGGCAAAAGTTCCACAAACTGGAAATTCAAATATAGTGCAACTATACTATTTGAATGTAATGTTATAATGGCAATGTTAGTGCATTTCAATGTTATCGTGTAGATGCCATTAGCTCTAGGATAAAACTTTCTTCATACAATCACCATCAGTAGATACACTAAACTGTAGTAACTCTTTAGCCTCGTATGATATAGACCAGGGGTCTGCAACCTTTAAAACAGAAGAGTCAGATACAATTAACTGGATGAAACCGCGGGCCACAAATTTATTTAACCCAGGCTTTCTAGTAGTTGCAGGCACAGAAAATTTAGTTTATTGATCTTGCTCTGTTTGCGTCGAACACGCTAGCTGTTAGGGCATTGCAACGTCTTAGGCATAGATAATAAATTGGAATCAGGTATAGGCTTTCCACAGGAGTTGAAATTACTCCACGTACCAGATCAGACTAAATCAAAAACTCGTTCCGCGGGCCGTAAACCATTCAAAATTGGAACTTCTCCACGGGCCGCACAATTTTTTATTGTGGGCCGCAAGTTAAACACCATTGTATAAATTAAAAAATATGAACAACGGATTCAATGGGTCGTTAGTGTGTGTCTGATATATGTTATCCTTATATTAGGATTTAATTATCACAAGAATTTGTCGCAAAAGTATAGAAGCTGAAATGTTTATGAATCAGTACATGAGTTAGGTTAAACATGTAAGTAAGTGGAATGAAAATGCATCAATAAATTAAGAACAAAAGTGATTCTTGGTAAGACATGCGCAACTGGTAAGAAGCGAACAGTAAGTATAGTTATGCTTCTTACCAGCTGTACATGTACTACTATGGATTAACCTGGTAGCACCTCTCGACAAAAAGAGTCTTGATAATTGATGCTGCTTTCTTTAAGTTTAAACATTGATTTAACGAACATTCAAGTAAATCAACAACCATCAACAAACCATGCATTCTCGCTTCACTATTAGCTTCGTGCTGATCTCGGAGTATAAGACCGATCTCGTGTTACAAAATTATACCCGTATACCTTCTGATGTTGCGATTTTTTACAAAAAAATTAATTCGACATCCGGATAATTCAATTCTCGATTTGAGTTTCGTGTCTGGTTTTCCCTTCGCCTCCTGAATTTTTACTCAACTCTCTCGGCAATTATGACCGTGTTTTGTCGCAGCTTCATTTGAGTAGCAAAATCCATGGCATGTCGTTTTACCGAACATCTTAGGAATGAGACAGATGACTCATAGAACTTATCCGTCACTTATTCTCTTTCAAATAAAAGCGGAATCGTTTTCCAAATGATTTTCGAATTAGTATACAGTCATGATTCAAATTAGTATAATCTTCCTGACATTTTTAAACGTGCCAATAATAATTAATAACAAAATTAAACTTTTGGTAACACCTGGCATTGTTTACTGTGTGGTTATTAAGCTCAGATCTTCGACACCTTTCGGCCCAGACAATATAAATACCTTCGTTCTAAGAAAATGTTTTCTAAACTGCCTCTACTTTTATCAAAGTATTCAACAAATGTTTGCATAAATCATTTTTTGCCAGACTGCTGAAAATTACCCCACCTTTATTCCCGTTTTTAATCACAGCGATAATCAGAGGGATCCTGATTAATTTAGACCGATTGGCAGGCTTGTCCGTGGGAAGTGTATTACCATGGGAACGTCCCATGGGATGGGACAAAAAACATCTTTATTTTCCGTCCGACAATTTTATGTAAGATTACGTTTTCCGCGTCAACAAAATTAACATAATGTTATAGTGGGCTGATTCGGACGACACTTGGCATGTGAGTCTGGGATGGTGTCAACATAACCCATGATTGCGACCCGGTCAAAGAATATTTTTTTGTGAATTGGAGGCAGGTGTATGTCAATAAAGTAACAGAAGAATGATTCGGTGATTTGGAGGACGTTTAGCTTCGTTTCCGAGGTGCCAAAACATTTGTTGGATCACTGTGAACTTTTCAACTAGTTTTGTCGGCGGTGGCCGTGTTCCGAACCCGCCTCCCTCTAATACGCACTAACTGTCCCCTACATTTCCATTCCCATTTCGGGAGGAACCACAGATGCGCCCTCCCCTGGATGCTACTAAATATACATTTTCATGAATGTTATAATTTTTATTGAATTATATTCTCAATGGGAATCGCATGGGATTGGATGAGAAGAGAACAGGCTTAAATTACTATGGAATGGGAAAGAAAAATATGTTTCATGGACAAACCTGCAGATTGATCTCTTGCCAATCATACTCAAAGTATTTAAATCACTGATCAACCTAATATTTCTCAATGCCTTCTAATATGTAACAATGATCTCCCGCATGATTTTATTTCCAATTCACTCTCATATGTTGACAACGCAACGCTTCATCTCTTGTCTTGATGTGTAGTCCGATAAACAAAGCCGATTAGAATTAAATTAAAGCAGTCACTTTTTCCCAACCCAGGAATTTTAGTTTAAAACCTAGTTTAAATGTTTTTCTTATTTTAATTTATACCACCAATAAAACTTTTAGGTTTTGTAAAAGAAAATTATTGATCTGGAGTCGCACGGTACCTCCAAACGTCGTCGTTTGGATAGATAGGCATGAGAAAAGCTTGGAAGCTCAGATAAATCGTACAAATTTTGTTTGATTAGTTTCAACATTCCTAAGGCTTAGATTCAGAAAGAATACACAGCGTCAGTGGCCTGAAATGCGCCAATATAAGTTATCAAAGCAAATCACTGATCGTCCACTAAGTATTGCTGTCTTAGCTTGGCTGGTGCTCTTCAGTGGTACTAAGCCTCCGACATTAGAACCCACGAACGTTTGCACCACAAGTTTTCTGATAGTAAGTTAACTGAGTTGCCTATTACTTATCACATGAAACTTCGATTCGATTCACAGCCGGTGATCAGATCTTCCAGAAAAGTTCCTGTTGCAATGCAAAAACTTGACGATATCGTTGCAACCATGCCCAATACTAAAAATGTTGCTATATTAGATGCTTCATCTGGTTTTTAGCAGATAAAGTTTGATCACGAATCCTCGTTGAAAACTACTTTTATCTGAACAGTTGGTAGATTTCCTTTTTTTGCGTATGCATTTGGAATTTCGTCTTGCCCAGAAGTATTTCAAAAAAGTATAGATTATGTTTTTGATATGCTGTCTTGTCGTATTGTTGTTGATGACATTATTATTTGTGGCTCGACTAAAAAAGAATACTTTGATCGTATTTTGATTAAACCTGAGAGAGCTATAGAAGTAAATTTGAAACTGAATTTTTCCAAATGTGAATTTATGGCTCAATAAGTTGAATATTGTGGTCATGTTTTAAATTCGAATGACTTGAAAAATCATCATCTCGAACTACCCAAGCTGAGTGAACATACTGCTAATTATCCTTTGTTGCTTAGAAATGATGTTCAGTGGTATTGTGATACAACAAGAATGAATTACACAAATACACTGAAGACATTTAAATGTTGAAGCTACAAAGAATTGTGCGAGAATTATCTGTTTTGGTTCAATATGTCCAAAGATATTGAAGATGCTATTCCTCGATGTTCTGCTTGCAATAGCATGAAGAATCATTTACAGAAAGAACCATTGAAGTTTCATTTAATTCCTGGTCGTCCGTGGTCTATTTTTGCTACAGATATTCTTCACTGGTGTGGAAATGAACACTTAGTTCTTGTTGACTCGTATTCTGGTCTCTGGATGATTTAAAATTAACCACTTGTCTGATATTTCTTCATGAACTGTCACGAAAAAATTGAAAGAACATTTTGCTAGATTTGACAGTCCAGATATATTGTTGAGCGATGGTGCTTCACAATAATCGTCGCATTATTCCGAAGAATTTTCTGAAGAATGGCAATTTAAACATGTTATGCTAAACATGCTAAAAATTTACCAGAGAAATACAGACGAGATTGATCCGATCCCTACCTTGCTTCATTAAACATTCGAAATGTGCCTAGAAATAGATACTTGGTTCTTCTGCATCACGTCGCACGAAACGTGATATACCTACATCAAAGAATTTGTTAAATCCTGAAATGAGAAATCCGAAGGAAGTGCTTGATCAATACAGTCAGGTAATACAGTCAGAATGCAAACCAAACAAAGATATGACAAGAAAGGTGTCATATACCAAGAGCCAGTCAGTTATCAAGAAATAACCTTATTGAATCTGATGGAAGTAGATATCGTCGCGATCGCAGACATATCCTAAGAGCAAAGGAATCTAAATTTCCTCGCACAGAAGAAGATGTCGTTTACTCAAATGAGTCTGATTCAAATGATGTTCCTTGTCGAACTAATGTTGTTAATGATAATTTCAATTTTGCGCCCAGTATGACCATTACTTGAAGTAGAAGAAGACCCTTTATACCACAGATGCAGCATATGTAAACTTGGTCATATTCATGAAATCGAGATATTGAAACTTATGCATCAATATTTTGATGGTAAACTTCCCATAGCATTCACTGAATTTTTTACGAAGCAGAGTACTATCCATTCCCATTCCACTAGATCAGCTTCGTCAGGTTCATTCCACGTC